ATTCACTTTTTCCTTCTTTATTCTTCATAACTAGATAATGTGGCGACACATACCTGGGGTTACGCCGCAGAAACGGTGCAGTGAAGTATAGTTTGAAAGGCTGCGCGTTAGGCTGTAAGCATACACTGAGCCGCTTCAGACAGTTCACCAGTAGCACTTCAACGCACGAAAACACACACAATTATGTCAAAATGCGTGGTTTTGGCGAGTTACCTTCTAAACGTAGTCTTAAATGAGTTATAAAGTCTTAAATGACCGTAAAGAGTTGGGAGAAAATCGGATATGTGTCGGATCCGCGTCATATGCATCAGGTTTTAAAGCGACAGCGCTGATTTTAAAGTGGAACCTGCTGAAGTCTGTCATTGATGTAAATCAAAGAACAAAAGAAAAAGAGAAATCCTTGGACTGTTCTAGGCGCTGATTAACTTTTGTAGCTTGAATAAAGATTAATATGTATAGTTTATGCATATAGTTTGTGAAGATTGTTTTAAAATCACTTAAATTAAAAGTTGTTATATTTCAGAGCCTATTAAATGTTAAAAATAATGACTTTCAATTATACTGTAATGTTGAATGGTTATAATTAATAGGTAAAATTGGGGGGAAATGCACCAGCAGGACAAATTAAAAACATTGTAAATATGTAGTTTACATAAACATTGTAGTAGTAATAACAGCCTGTTTTTGCAAAAAGAGTTTCATGGCCGATAAAATAACTTTTTGGCCTGTAAATTTTATCATGTCACCGGCCATTGGTAGGTGTGGCAAAATGTTAGTTTTAGGCCCTGTATATGTATATGTATATAAAATATATATAAATACTTAGTTAAGTTTTACCATTTTATTAAAAACATACCCCAATACTGTCAATTCATTTTGCCTCCAGAATAATGTAGTTACAATGTCAGTATTAGGTGTTTACTGTTTTAATGTTAGTGTAAGTTTTCCTAGTACAGTATTTTCTAATTCTATGAATTTATTTGTTTGTTTTTGCTTTTCTTAAGTAATTTCATGGTTATAGTCTGTATGAAACTGTATGTATTGAGTAATGCAGGATTAATTCTGTGTTCAGTGTGTTGTTTGTCATGGGATTAAGTTTTGGTGACTGTTAGCGGTTCCCATGGACACGGGGCTGGCAGCCGTGATAGCGAGAGGTTTGACTGGCACGTTCTTCCAGCTTATTAGCACCTCTGTGTTGGAGTATTACGATGTTTACTGCAACTCAAAGCTAATTGCTCACACGCACACATACACAAACATTTCGGAGATTATTAATGTGGTCATTTAATTGTTAAATAAATAAGATATGCAAACAGTCCTGTTAGTCCCAGATGAAGATTTATAAACTCACACCCTGGAGAGAGACATTGACGCATCCTGTCTGAAGTTCAGCAGTTAATACTAAATCGAACCAGCCGTGAGTGTCTAATGGAGAGAGAGAGCGGAAAAGAAAGAGCTGTCTTTAATAATAAACTGGGAAATTTAGTTGGTAATGAATTACCAGTAGCAGTTTTCTTAGGCCACCGTTTATACACTAAGACACACACATACGCACAAATGCTTTGACTTTCAGCACTCCCTTGATCCATAATCAGTCTTAATTCTTCCATTACGTTTCTGTTTTTCTTTCCCTCATGTTTTCCCAGGAAAGGTGAAAGCAAACAGGAATTCCTGAATGAAAAGATAAACACACACACACATTAACAGGCCAAACATGTTCGGGTTGAGCTAAGGAGAGGAGATGAGCTCTAGTTACTCAGGAATCTTGATGGCTGATCTCAGTTCTGCTATAAACCGTTTCCCAAAACCTCTCTCCCCTGCCTACATAGGCAGCTGCCTTCTGAGGGAACATCCTAACCACCTTGGAACACCTAAACACAGGAGTCTTAACTTGTGATTAGTTTCAATAGAGTCTGATATTAGCATGTTCCTTAGCTAACAATTCAATAATCATTATAAGCATACAAATACAGGCAGATAATAAATAAAATAACCAATTTGTATGGGCTATTTTTAGCAATAATTTTCAGTGTTGAAAGAAAAAGTACATACTTTCAAAAGGAGTACTTGGTTATTAATATACTTAGTTTACTTTAAAATGATATACTTAAGTGCAAACTGAATGTAATGTTTTGAGAAATGAATGTTATTTACAAATAAAATTAAATATATGATTGTTAAAATTTATTTAAAATGTCTGTTTCTATTGTTTATTTATATATAAAATTTCTATTGTCAAATCTATTGTTTGAAAGCATTTATGGTAAACTAAAATAAACCTTAATGTAATTCTATTGAAACTTATCTGTCATGTATTTAAATATATTTGTAATTACACATTTAATGTGTAATTACAAATTAATAATACATTTAAACTATATTTACTTTAAATGATTGATTATTGATTATTGAATTATAATCAAATGCTTTTCATATGCTTTAGTTTGTTAGTCAACACTAACAATCAAATTAAGTGTACTTCAAAGCACGATAAAACACTATTAAAACAATAATTGAAAGTTTATTTTAAAGTAAAACTTTACATTTTGCATTATTACAAAGTACATTTTTAAAAAGTGTTCTTAAGTGTATTAAGTCATGAAAGTACACTTAAGTGGCGTTTTATTTCCAGTATATATTTTTTTTATCTGCAAGTGGTTCTTAAAGGGATAGTTCACTTTTAGTTGGTTCCCACTGACTTGCATAGTGTTTTTTTTTCTCATGCATGGAAGTCAATGGGGACCAGTAACTGAAGGTGAACTATCCCTTTCAAAAACATACTTTTTAAGATTTGAAATGCACTGCAAGTGTACATTCGGTACAATTAAGCACCATTTACTAGGACAGCACAGTGCATTCTGGGATAAAGTGCACATATTATGCCCTAAAATACTACTTGTATAGGCAGCTCGCTGAGTTTTGGAGCAGAGCGATAGCTTCAGCAAGATATTGATTAGAGTCGACTCGGCAGTATGGAGTGAATTCATCCTCTGTGTTACACGAAGGCTGTCGTAGCGCTGACAGAGACTTCAACAGCTGCGTTCATGTATGTTTGTGTGTATATGCGTGTGTGGCCGCCAACGCCGTGCCTCGTTGCGTGCTGCGTTGTCCACATGGTTCTTGTTACAGATTGAAGGATGTTTGTTTTCTCTATTAGTGACTCTGTCCCATTATCAAGATCTCAATCAGAAACCGCCTGCAACCACAATTCAATAAACACGCACGCACATATTTCACCTTCTCTTTTTATCTCTCCATGTCTTTTTGTCTCATATATGCATTCATGCACACACACTTTTGACTACTTATCTTAATATGGACATAGTTGTTTTTTTTATAAAATGCTAACTAGCTGGCATTTAGTTCTTGACACAAACTTTCCTTTCCTTCCTACTTTATCATATTTCTCTTTCTCTCTGCCCATATAAAGTTCTTGTTGGCCAACAGTTCATGTTTTTGAGTCCTTTAAGGGCTTAGATTGTCTCGGGTGACAGGATGATGTGTAACAGGTGTGTGTGGGTGTATGTGTGTGTGTGTGTGTGTGTGTGTGTGTGCTTTAGTTTGTTAGTCAACACTAACAATCAAATTAAGTGTACTTCAAAGCACGATAAAACACTATTAAAACAATAATTGAAAGTTTATTTTAAAGTAAAACTTTACATTTTGCATTATTACAAAGTACATTTTTAAAAAGTGTTCTTAAGTGTATTAAGTCATGAAAGTACACTTAAGTGGCGTTTTATTTCCAGTATATATTTTTTTTATCTGCAAGTGGTTCTTAAAGGGATAGTTCACTTTTAGTTGGTTCCCACTGACTTGCATAGTGTTTTTTTTTCTCATGCATGGAAGTCAATGGGGACCAGTAACTGAAGGTGAACTATCCCTTTCAAAAACATACTTTTTAAGATTTGAAATGCACTGCAAGTGTACATTCGGTACAATTAAGCACCATTTACTAGGACAGCACAGTGCATTCTGGGATAAAGTGCACATATTATGCCCTAAAATACTACTTGTATAGGCAGCTCGCTGAGTTTTGGAGCAGAGCGATAGCTTCAGCAAGATATTGATTAGAGTCGACTCGGCAGTATGGAGTGAATTCATCCTCTGTGTTACACGAAGGCTGTCGTAGCGTCGTGTAACACAGTAGTTGTCGTACTTCAACAGCTGCGTTCATGTATGTTTGTGTGTATATGCGTGTGTGGCCGCCAACGCCGTGCCTCGTTGCGTGCTGCGTTGTCCACATGGTTCTTGTTACAGATTGAAGGATGTTTGTTTTCTCTATTAGTGACTCTGTCCCATTATCAAGATCTCAATCAGAAACCGCCTGCAACCACAATTCAATAAACACGCACGCACATATTTCACCTTCTCTTTTTATCTCTCCATGTCTTTTTGTCTCATATATGCATTCATGCACACACACTTTTGACTACTTATCTTAATATGGACATAGTTGTTTTTTTTATAAAATGCTAACTAGCTGGCATTTAGTTCTTGACACAAACTTTCCTTTCCTTCCTACTTTATCATATTTCTCTTTCTCTCTGCCCATATAAAGTTCTTGTTGGCCAACAGTTCATGTTTTTGAGTCCTTTAAGGGCTTAGATTGTCTCGGGTGACAGGATGATGTGTAACAGGTGTGTGTGGGTGTATGTGTGTGTGTGTGTGTGTGTGTGTGTGTGAGAGAGATTGTGGCGCTAACAGCCCCAATGACACCACTTAAAACATCCCCTACAACTTCCTTTGGCATTACGCTCTTGCTCTGATATGTGTGTGTTATACATGTGTGTGCGTGAGAAGTGTGTGAAGTGTACTGTTAGGGAAATAAATGTGTGCTGGCATGTTTCTCAGGAAAGGATTGAAGTGGTTTTATATAGCAATGGACATGGAATAGAAATTAAACTGTAAAACTGACAAATGTGTTTGTGTTGTTATGTGTGTGTTTATGAGTTTTTAGTGTGTGTGGTCATAAATTTTCTCCCTTTCTTGCCCCCCAGGCAACCAGGGCCACACTTACAGCTCATTGCTCCTCGCTGGGTGACAGTCTGAGGAAGGAAAATGAGTTAGCACTCATCATAGACGGACAGACGCTCAAATACGCCCTCTCTTTTGAAGTGCGTCAGGCCTTCCTCGACCTTGCGCTGTCCTGCAAGGCCGTAATCTGCTGCAGGTACTGTATATAGACCGAAACGCACACAAAAATCCTCACAAATGTATTAACATCATTGCATTTATAAACACACTAATGATAAACTCAGAGGAAAATGTTATTTATGTCAGTTCTTTTGGAGAAATATAAATACAATCAGCAGAGACATGGCAGTACAATTTTATATCGGCATCTCACTCACAATATGATAGAGTGTGTGTGTGGAAGTTTGTATACATAAAATATATGTATTTATTTATTTTTTGATGTGTGTGTACATATACTTTTTATATTTAATTATTGTTTTATTTATATCTATCTTATTGATCTACTGAATTTCCATTGAATTTTGATGGAATAAAAGTAGTTGATAATATTGTTTTATTGATATTTATTTATTTTAGTATGGAAGCCCATTTCCCCCACTGAATAAAAAAAGGTTATTGCGACTTTTTATCGCACAATTCTGAGTTTTTTTCTCAGAACTGTGTGATACACACAATCAATTGCGAGTTATGAAGTCAGAATTGCGAGAGATAAACTCGAAATTCTGAATTTTTTTTCCCTCATAATTCTGGAATGTAAACTCGCAATTGCGAGTTATAAAGTCCAATTCTAAGGGGAAAAAAGACTGATATGTTCTTTTTGAGAAAAAAAGTCAGAATTGCGAGTTTATATCTTGCAATTCTGACTTTATAACTCGCAATTGCGTGTTTATATTATGCAAATCTGACTTTATAACTCGCAATTGCGTGTTTATATTATGCAATTCTGACTTTATAACTCGCAATTGCATGTTATAAAGTCAGAATTGCAAGATATTGCAATAAAAAAAATTTAGAATTGTGAGTTTGTATCTCGCAATTCTGAATTTATTTCTCATAATTGCAAGTTTATTCTCAGAATTGTGAGTTTATTTCTTAGAATTGCGAGTTTGTCTCACAATTCTTACTTTATAACTCGCAATTGTGAGTTTATATCTCACAATTCTGAGGAAAAAAAGACAGAATTGTGAGAGAAAAGGTCGTAATTACCTTTTTTATTTTTTATTTAGTGGTGGAAACAGGCTTTCGTAATTTACTTTTATTTATTTACACAGAAATATTTAAATAAATAAATATCAACTTTTTATGCTGTGTATGTAGATAGAAATATCTATCTATACATTAATTATTCTTATAATTATTACACGACATACTGTTTTTTTTTTTTTTTTAAATAGTTGGTAATATAAAAATATTCTTTATATATTTACAACATACTGTGTATTTTATCATTCTATTTGATATACATTTTTCCCTACATCTTTAGCTACATACAAGAAAAATGCAGTTATGGTAAAAGTTAATATAGTTAATGTGAATGTAGAGGTATAACATTAATCTAATTTAAATAGAAATATTTGAGTTCAGATTGATTAAAAAAAAGTAATAACTTCATAAGCATAAGTCTCAGTTTGCTCATCATATAATTGCATTGTTGTCTGGGAGAATCATTTAAAATATTAAAGAGATCTTCTCTGGGGTTTTAATTTATTTTGGGTATTCATTCAGGCATTAGCACTGAACAGCTGTGTGTGTGTGTGCATGTAAACCCCAAAAAATAACAGACAACATGCATTATAAAACATTTTTGAAACATTTCTAATCAGGCACTGTATAGAGTACCCATTAAAAGTTCTTTCAGCCAATGGAATCACTTTGTGGTTCATGACACCAAACCTCTTGGTCATTTCACACTTGTCTGTTGCTGTCTGATGATGTTGTCACGTTAATGAACAGATTCAGTCGTTATAGACACATTATAAAGCATATTTGAGAAAACTGTAAAGTTGTATAGTACTTAGAAGTAACTTTTGTCATGTTTTTCTTTCAGGGTGTCTCCACTGCAGAAGTCAGAGATCGTGGATATGGTGAAGAAGCATGTGAAGGCCATCACGTTGGCTATCGGAGATGGAGCCAATGATGTGGGCATGATACAGACGGCACATGTGGGAGTGGGCATCAGCGGGAACGAGGGCATGCAAGCCACCAACTCATCCGACTACTCTATAGCCCAGGTCTGACACAAGCACACTCATGTAATTCATTATTCTGTGGCTCGGTCACACACACACATCTCATCTTTAAAAACATAATTACTCTACCACAACACAAAACACAAAGCAGTCTTCTGCCCACAGCGCTGTTGTATCTGGGTAGCTGCTCCTGCAGTAATGGTTCACATGTGTTCCTGCGGGCAAATTTAATTCTTCTCTCAACCGCTCTCTCTTTAGTTCTCATACCTGGAGAAGCTGTTACTGGTTCACGGGGCTTGGAGTTACAACCGGGTCACCAAATGTATCCTGTACTGCTTCTACAAGAATGTGGTTCTGTACATCATAGAGGTGTGTACGTTCATCGCAATCAAGTGGTCGTGAGACTTTTAAAGGGGCAGATCAAATAAAAATGACAATTCTGTCATCATCTGTCTTCATGTTCCCAATCTGTATGGTTTTCTTTCTTCTTTAAAACACAAAAGGAGATGTTAGACAAAGTTCACGCTTCCATTTCCATACAGTGGGTTTCATGTTTGAATAGCAACAAACTGACTAAATAGTGCCAAGTCTGACATTAATGATTCAGAAATCCCCTGGTATGTGTTTTGATGTGAGAGTTGACAGCAACAGTGGATGGCAGTATTTTCAGAAAATGTAAATTTATCACACAAAGCTTTAAAATGTTATTTTATTTTTATTTTTGAGTGTATTTTACCAATATTTATTTTCAAATATATTTTAGAAATTATATATATTCTCTTCTGCTCACCAAGTCTGAATATGCTGAAAATGTAGCTTTGATCACAGGAATAAATTAAAATTTTAAATGTATTCAAATAGAAAGCAGTTATTTTAGATAGTAAAAATATTTCACAATTTTGAATCAAATAAATCCAGGCTTGGTGAGCAGAAGAGAATTCTTTAAAAAACAAAAAACTTCCTGTTAAAAAACTTTTGAATGGTAGTGCATATTACATTTCTAATATTGTTATAAATACACAATGTATGTGTGTGTGTGTGTGTGTGTGTGTGTGTATGTATATATATTATATATATTAGTGTTGTCAAAATTAGCACGTTAACGCAAGCAATTACTTTTTTCAGTTTAACACGTTAAAAATATTTTACGCAATTAACGCAGGGGCAGGGCTAGGGTTGGCCACCCCACTCACAACTGCTGCTTCTGTCACTTTTTCTCTTGACAAGAAGTGCATTTATTCAGTCGCAGAATGACTGAGAATGGGAGATGTTTCAGACGCACGCTCCACTTCACTTCAGCGCCAGGCGCGAGTCAAGCGAGTGCGGAAACAGTACTGTACTCGCAGCGCGTGCTCTTCAATTGCACGCACAAAGGCGCCGGTGTGCACTGTAACCTGTATCCTTTCATATCAAAGCACGAAATAAACTACGTGCATGCAATGTCGTGGTCAGTTAAGTCATGAAGTTACCAAAAAGGAGACGAAAGCTGCCTTAAAACTGTGAATGCATGTAATATATTTTATATGAAAAAAAGAGTAAGAAAGAACTTTTATAGCTTTAAGGATTCATCTATATTTAATTCAGAATTTAGTGTTTGATAACTTCAACAATCTCTATATTTCTGCTGAAGGGCACAGGTAAATATGACATTTATTATAATGGGTTTATGTGAAGATTGTTTCAAGTTCACTTAAATTAGAAGTTATTTTTTAAAGTCTAATAAATGTTAAAATTGATAGCTCTCAATTATACTGTAATGTTGAATGGCTATAGTCAATGCTTAAATATTGGGGGGGGGGGCAATTTTATAGAGTATTTTTTTTATTGCTATCATTTTTTATTGGTATCATTGATACTAGCCTTCAGTCATAAAAAAAACAAAATTAGGTTAAATTAAACAAATATTAAAAAATATACTGTCTTTATGTTGTTTGTACATTAATTTGAAGATTGAATGTGAAATTATTGCAATATAAAAGTATATTTAAAAACTTTAATGTTAGGTGGGATTAATCGTGATTAATTTCAGAAAAATATGCGATTAATTCGTTGTTTTTTTTTTATCGATTGACAGCACTAATATATATATATAAATATATATACAGTGGGTACGGAAAGTATTCAGACCCCCTTACATTTTTCACTCTTTGTTATATTGCAGCCATTTGCTAAAATCATACCCACTGTATATATATATATATATATATGTGTGTGTGTGTTTTATTTTTTTTTTATAGAATACAATGTTATAAATACAAACGATACATTTCATTTTTGGAATGACGTGAGGGCAAGTATATTTTTCATTTATTTTTGGCCAAACTTTTTCTTTAAAGGGGTCATATGATGCTATTTTAAAGATCATTATTTTGTGTATTTGGTGTAACAGAATATGTTGACATGCTTTAATGTTCAAAAAACACATTATTTTTCAAATACTGTACATTATTGTAGGTCCTCTATGCCCCGCCTCTCTCAAACGCGTCGTTTTCTACAAAGCCCCTCCTTCCGACAAGCACAGTCTGCTCTGACTGGCCAGCTGACCCAGTGCATTGTGATTGGCCGAACACCACAAGCACGCGTCGGAAATGTAACGCCCCTTTCCATAATCGCGAGCTTCAGCTTTGAACATAAATGTAAAGACAGTCCTTAGTTTTACCATCAGTTCAAGCCCGAAAGGGGAACAGAGTCGCGTGACAGACACAGTGATGATGCTCGTATGTATTTGCAGTACACAAGCCGCGATTAAGAAAGCTGACTCCACTGTGATGTGACCCTGTCTCTCTCTCTCACGTGTGCACACACACACACTATACGGCGCAAAACTCCACATTTGAATAGTCAATAGCAAATACTTAAACTATTAAGAAAACATACTCTGATTCAGAAGCGCCAGATTGTCATAGCAAAGTCAGAATTACCTCCTCTCCTAGGTTCACGAAACGGTCGTCCATAAAATGCATTGCTGTTCTGTTGTAAGTAATCTTAAAGATTCCTAAATGCATCTACTTTCGGAAGGCCAAATAAAGTGCTTTTGCTCTCACACTGAAACACACAGCGTCTCCCTGACATGCTGCTTCAACACTAACTGCGGTTACTGAAACCACACCTTCTTTCTTTGCGTGAACATTTGGGCGGCATTATGCAAATATTTCCACATAGGGAGTTACGCAAATATTTCCACATCATGACGTAGAGATGTGGGGGCGTGTTTGAATGAGGTGTTTTAGCCCGGTCTGGATCAGCCTTCTCTTAGATAAAATAAATCCTTTTGTGGGAGACTTCGAGCTTTGTAACTCTGCAGATCTTATACATGCACAGATAACTACATAACACACTAAAGAAAAGGAAAAATAGAAATCGCATCATATGACCCCCTTTGAACAACATGCTTTTGCCTTTGGAATGTGTTGTACTTACAGATCACTTTTTAAAGAGAGTCATCAAAATTAGCCCTGATACACACACACACACACACACAAACAAACAAACATGCTCACTTTTTTTTCTCTCTCTCCTTTTGGTTGCCTTTTTTCACACAGACACCCTTGCGTACATTAAGTAGACTGCTTGCAGCTGTTTATGGAAGTGTTTGACAGTGATAAATGAGATTCCCCCTCTAGTCTCTGCTTTCCATCACACACACACACACTCTCACACAGGCACAGACAAAGAGCCGCTGACCCCTATCTATAGTGCCTGGGTCCTTCCAGTTCAAAACTGCATACCAGATACACACTGTCATTCGAGAGCTGTGTAAGTGTGAGTGTGTGTGTGCGCTAGGTAGAGTGTGAGCTTTACTGACAGGGTCACCGTTCTGTCCGCTGGAGCATTTGTCAGCTGTGCCACCCCTTAAAATGGCAACAGGTGCAGAAACATGCCCCCCTCCTTCGCCCGAGGACTGTGTCTGTGTGTGTTGGAGTGTGTGCTTGTGTGTGTGTGTGTGTGTGTGTGTGTATGTGTGTGTGTGTTACGGGAAGAGCTGGGTAAAGGTTAAATGTTTAGATGTCTCTATATTTGTGGAATGCGATTGTCCATGCACATCTGTCCGTGTTTGGGAGAGAGGGGCATTTTGGGGGTCTAACCGGGGATTAACTTCCAGCAAAGAAGAGCTTTAAAGGTCAAAGTTCACAGAGTGTCTTTGTCTTCATAGCGGAGACATTGTGGGGGATGGACAGCAAGGGTACATGTGTGTGTAGGCTTTTGTTTGTATGAACTGACCTCTGCCTTGAGTTTGATGTTTGCTAGAGGGTTTCCATGTTACTCATCTTTTTTGTGCCCTCTCTTTGTAAAATTGTTTATCTTCACCTCTGTATTTTAACATGCTTCCATCTCTTTTTCCCTCAGCTTTGGTTTGCGTTTGTAAACGGTTTCTCTGGACAGATCCTGTTTGAACGTTGGTGCATTGGCCTGTACAATGTGGTATGTGTGTGTCTGTCTCTCTTTATAGTTTAACATTTTATGGTAAAACATTTGGTGCACTCCTGACAAGGCTTTGGTGGCATCAAATGTATCATTTATAGAGAAGACAATCCCAGAATGCATTGTGCCAAATTTTGTGAAAACGTTCATCCAAGATGTTAGATAAATGACAGTTACAGTGATAGACCAAAAAGATATCAGCCAATCCTTGGTCTTTTTTTTTTTTTCAGCTGATAAAGTGGCCACTTGGTAATTTTTGCTTTCTATTTTTTATGAATGTTAATAAATTGAATGCACCAAAAAGAAGTCTCTTTTGCTCATCAGGGCTTAATTTACTTGATTAAAAATACAGTAATATTGTAAAATATTATTACAGTTTAAAAGGACTTTTCTGTATTATTATATTTTAAATTATAATTTATTCCTGTGATGCAAAGCTGAATTTTCAGCGTCATTACTCCAATCTTCAGTGTCACATGATCCTTTAGAAATCATTTTGATTTGGTGCTCAAAAAACATTTATTATGTGCTGCTTTTTTTTCTTCTTTTTTTTGAAAGGATTCTTAAATAGAATATAAATAAAAATTAACAGAATATGAATACAAAGTTTTAAAAAAAAAAGAAACTTCACTCATTTTTGATCAATTTAATGTGTCCTTGCTGAGTAAAAGTATTAACTTTTGTTATAACTTTTGAACATTAGTGTACAAACAGTTTACCTGACCTCTTTTGTATTGACATCAACAATTGAAAAGCACATATTGGTTGACCACTGATATCACTGAAAAAAATATTTCACTCAAAATATTTGAGAAATACACCAAAATAAATACAAAAATAGTTATTTTAATAAAAAAATTCAGTTTACAGAATGTTTTGTTTGCTATGTATTTTTATCCTTAATGGAGTATGGCATAGTTAGCTTAGTGACATGCTGTTCTATTCCAATCAGAACATTTCAAATCGGGTTCCATTTTGGTTGTGCTTTGGTTTAGATACATACTGTATAATATACTGTAACACTTGAGAATGTTCATCTGTTTTTCAGATCTTTACTGCTCTTCCTCCTTTCACACTGGGGATATTTGACCGGCCGTGCAGTCAGCAGAACATGCTACGCTTCCCTCAGCTGTACCGCATCACACAGAATGCAGAAGGGTTTAACACTAAGGTACCAAGATTTCGGTAGCCTATACAAATATGCCATTTCAATCACAAATTACTCATACTGACACAACAAATACCTAGAGACTTATAAATCTGTCTGCAGTGAGTGTTAGGCTGTTATTATGATCATCACGCTAGCCTACATCCGGTGTTATAATTGATTATCCCAGTCTGATGTGGTTAGCAACATCAGTGTATTGTTTGACTTGTGACTTCACCGTAGATAAACAGGAGTGCAAGAAACAGCTCTGCTTCCACCCAGATAATAATGAGATTCATAAGCTGAAATAAGACCGTCATTAATTTATAGCCGAGGATCAGTGTTTGTGTGTGTGTTTGGGGTGATCTGGGGGACATTGCACTGGCTGTGCAATTGCAGAGAAACTGTTTGTGTGGGCTGTGTATCTTGGCATCAGTTTGTCTTGACTGACTCTCCCCTTCTCCTGTTCCTGCTTTCTGTCCCTCCCTTCCTCTCTCTTTCATTGCCTCTTTCTCTTTTTCCAGGTCTTTTGGGGTCACTGTATAAATGCTCTCATTCACTCCATTATTCTCTTCTGGTTTCCACTCAAAGTTCTGGAGCACGGTAACTATCGCAAGCACTCACATGCACACATGTAGACCACTCCAGCTCGAGTGTGTAAACCGTTGAGTATCTTTCATCGCCCGTTTTGTTTCTTCAGACACTCCCTTTGACAACGGCAACAGTGTCGACTACCTGTTCGTGGGGAACATTGTCTACACGGTGAGTTGTCAGCGGTGGCATTTACTGCGCCGTAGTTCCCTGCCAGTGAGAGGTCACACATCATTTCCTTCTAGTGCCATTATTCCATTCGTTGGCTGCCAGTGTTTACACTGTAAACTTGTTAATGTCTCTTTTCGCTGGCTATTCTTGAAAAAAGTTCTTGTGAAAGAATCCCACAACTCAGAGCAGAAACGACAGGAGCTCTTTGAGGAAACTAATGAGAACCGACAAGACCGCTCACCGTTGGCATTTGTGGGCAGTTTACGACTGAAATTCTGCATTTCAAGTCTAACAGTCGTTTAACTGATTTATTGCTTTAAATGCTTGGAATGGTTCATTAAAATTGTTCTTTTGGCCTTTTAAGTTTATATTCTGTATCAGTTTTTGTGGTCCTAACTATATACTAAAAAAATATATATACGTTTTTGTAACATTTTAATGTACTTTTTTTTTTTTTTTTACTAAAAATATGAACTATTCATCTAGGCATGTGAAAAAATACATATTGTCATAATTGACTGGTTGGAAGGTTGTCCAATGTTGAATATATATATATATATTCTGATTTTAAATAAATAGATTTTAAAAAATACATTAAAGTAAAACCCTTACTATAAGGAGATTTTATTTGTTTACCTGCATGTGTTATTTGAACATTAACCAACATCACAGAACTGTGAACATGCAAATATGTTGTTAAATTAATTAAATATTAACTTAAAATCTCAGGGGTTCGGCTGACAGAAAAAAGTTTGGGAATACCTGATCTAAATGAATAATCAGCCTAAAGGAAGCCCTGTATAGTAGGGCTGGTTTATAAAATAAGCCCTCACACCAATCACACAGATTTTTTTTATGGGTTGTTCACATAGGCCATAAAACCTGGATGGAGTGCAACAGAATGGAACAGTACGCAGGTGTCTTGGTCATTTTTGACACCCTGCCTTAAAAGCACAATTCTTATTGCACAAAAGCCTTTAAAAATTTCACAAAATGCAAAGCAACTGCCAAAGATATCTGTCTGCATATGTTCATAAACCAGCATTTTAAAAATAACTTTTTACTGCACAAAAATCTCATAATCCTCACATTGCTCATACCGAGCAATTTGAAGTTCAAAAACTGCCTTAAAGTCGATGGTTTTGTTGCACAAGCTGTGTTTTAGAGATACAGCGGTGCAATAAATGTAGATTTTCAGAGAGAAGGTTCAATGTGCTAAAACACTCTCAGAGAAGTTGAGTGAAAGATCTTTTTATCAATATTTATGTGCAATTGAGTGAAATGTGTTGTTAAAAAAGAAAAAAATTCCATAAAATATTAAAGTTAAAACAGCAATTTTGTAAAAAGTCTAGTTAGACTAGTTGACCAATCTGACCCATCCCAAATGACAACAAAACGCTTCTGTGAAATGTTTTGCTTTAATTACATGTTGTCAAAGATCCGAATGTCAGAAGTGAGTCAGATTTTATATTTGTTTGGGCAAATAATTAATTACACAGATCCTGTCATTGAGTCTTAAATCAGAATCAGACTATACTGATTGGGCTGCATGTTTGATTTGCATGCAGCCTGCAAAGAAAATGCTAAGATGTCACATTATTTCACAGTACCTGTATGTTTTCCTATTCACGTTCAATACAGACTGCAACCCCAGAAAACATCTTTCATGCCCCTTTTCAGCATCTAAATCACTACAATTCCCTCCCCACTAGCCAATCAGTGAACTGTATCTCGCATAAAGCTCTTGATGTTGTTGTGTTGTGCTTTTGGCCATCCATTAAAAAAAATGAGGCCGTGTGTATGTGTGCAACCCAGACTATTAAATACAGTACGTTGGAGTTTTTGGAGGCGATACTAGACTCTAGCCATTTAAACAGTAATGAATGAGTCCCATGGGGAGTGAAGTCTTTGTGTGCTGGTATTTCTTTTCTGTTCCTCGCAGGCCTCTATGTCTGTGTGTATGTGCGTACGATTACTTTAAGGGCTAAATGTGTAATTGTGGTTTAAAGCAGTGTGTGTCGCTAGAGGCAATAGTAAGTCGATGCCTGTGTGAAAGCCCTCATCTGTTTTTTTGTGTTGAAGCTGTACAGAACGTTTTACCAGGATGATGATTGCATATCATTACTGTTATTTATGACTCTCTCTTTCTCCGTCTCTCTTCCTGGTGCAGTATGTAGTGGTAACTGTATGTCTGAAAGCCGGTATGGAGACCACAGCATGGACAAGGGTACGTCAGTCCCCATCCTCCAACACAAACACACACACACTCCTCACCGCCTGCCATCTGAGCTCAAAGCAATGAGCATATATCTGGAAAAAGGTTGTCACATTATAGAATTGTAGAAGCAAAATTACTTAAATTATTAAAAAAATTTGTATTAAAATATCAAATATATGAATATAATATATAAAAGTCTAAATTAAGTGCGTTCATGCTTAAAACAGGAAAAAATGTGATGGGCTAAGGAAAATTACCTTGTTTTCCTTAAACTCATTTAATTTTGATACATTTTTCAGAAAACAGATCCAATATCTCAATTTATTTTGCATGATGTGAGAATTTTTACATATTTGTACTGGAAAATAAGACAAAAATACTGAGTAAGTCTATGGTAGTGCTGTCTAATGTACTGAATATTACAAAGCATTTTTTATGTCTGAATTAAAAGATTGCAAAAATTATTTTCTTTCTTTAGTATTTTTGTCGTTTTCTGGTACAAATAACCAAACCTTTTTAAAGGGGTCATATGATGTTGCTAAAAAGAACATTATTTTGTGTATTTGGTGTAATGAAATGTGTTTATGCGGTTTAAAGTTCAAAAAACACATTATTTTCCACATACTGTACATTATTGTTTCTCCTCTATGCCCCGCCTTTCTGAAATGCGTCGATTTTTACAAAGCTCATCGGTCTGAAAAGCGAGGTGTACTCTGATTGGCCAGCTATCCAGTGCGTTGTGATTGGCCGAATACCTCAAGCGTGTGACTGAAATGTTACGCCCCTTAACGTACTGTGATGCTCTGTCCGGCTGGATCAACGATTCAAAAACATGAAAACCCCATTATAAACGAGGCATTTGTTGCATCCAGTGGGGACATAATTACGGATTATAATGACTTATTCTGTCTTTTTACACGTTGCGTTGCATCGTGCCGCGTAAACATAAAACCATGTCTGCATTTGTGATCGGAGAAATGACAAACAACAAGTGCTACTCTACTCTTTGCAACTTTACAGATCTTCTTTATGCACCAAGAGCTTGTAACAGTCCAAAGAGAAAGGAAAAATTTAAATAGCATCATATTACCTCTTTAAAGTGTTAGTTCACCCAAAAATGAAAATTCTGTCATTATTTACTCACCCTCATGTCGTTTCAAACCCGTAAGACCTTAGTTCATCTTCAGAACACAAATTAAGATATTTTTTATGGAATCTGAGAGCTGTCTGACCCTGCATAGACAGCAATACAACTGAAATGTTCCCAAGTCCAGAAAAGTAGCAAGGACATCTGTAAAATAATCCATGTGACATCAGTGGTTCAACCGTTATTTTACGAAGCTACGAGAATAATTTTTGTGCGCAAAGAAAAGAAACGACTTTATTCAACAATTCATCTCCTCTGCGTCACATTGAATAAAGTAGTTTTTTTTTCTTTTGCGCACAAAAATTATTCTCGTAGCTTCGTAAAATAACGGTTGAACCACTGATGTCAGACAGCTCTCAGATTCCATCAAAAATATCTTAATTTGTGTTCCGAAGATGAACGAAGGTTTTACAGGTTTGAAACGGCATGAAGGTGAGTAATTAATGACAGAATTTTCATTTTTGGGTAAACTAACCTTTTAAAATGTAAAAGATGCATTTGCTTGAGAAGCAAAATGACTAAAGATTTAAGTGTTGTTTTCTGAAGAATCTCAAAATTGAGTATGTTTATGCTTAAAACAAGAATGAAATCACTTAATTTTATTTTTTATTTTTTTTTGAACAAATAAGTTTTTTGAAAAAATAAATTTGCTTTTTAGATATTTGAACTGGAAAACAAGACATAAAACAGAGTAAGAATTTTTTGCAATGTATCATAGCGGCATTTAACACACTGAATTTATTCCAAAGGATTTTTAAAATCTGAATTGAAAGGAGATCCCACTATGCAACACTTTGCACTTGACATTGTGTCTTATTCTATAGGAAGGTTATATACAGTATATATATTCTGGGAAGTGCTTTAGATAGATGGGGAACATGCTGCTATGTCAAGACATTTCTCTGTCCCTCTTTCATGTGTGTTGAAGTAGATCTTGTGATGAAGTAGAGTGGCCTTGGAATTCACATGGTTTCCATTACAGTTGAAGAAGTCTATATTCGGTGTGAAACTGACCATGACCTGTTTTTCTCTTGTTCTAGTTTTCTCATCTGGCTGTATGGGGCAGCATGGTGCTCTGGATGTTGTTCTTTGCCGTCTATTCTGCAATCTGGCCAAGCATTCCTATAGCACCGGATATGTTGGGTCAGGTGAGTGCAAATGCACACACACCTGTTCATGTTTGTGCTTTGTCACTCACCTCCTTTATCTTGACTGCCTGGATGACTTGCTCTCTGGGTGTTCTGTGTCAAATTAATGGCCAGCCGTCCCATTTCGCTGTCTCCCTGCAGCTGCCACACAGTCACCCGAGCCCCAGGCTTTTACGGCCTACCCTGGAAGTGTTGACTCAAGCGGGTGGGCTGGTTTGTGCACCGCTACAGACATCTGTGTGTGTGTTTGAATGAGGAATACTCCAGAAAGGTTTTTTGCCTTGTCCCCACAGTGGCTCTGTTCCATAACCTAGTGAGTCGCCTCGCTCTCTGTTGCCTACATAGGCACCATCCTAACTGAAATGGAACATGCTAAGTACTAATTTGAAACACTTTGTAAAGGCAAGAACTCTATATGGTATTCAAATAACACCATATATATATATATATATATATATATATGTATGTGTGTGTGTGTGTGTGTGTGTGTGTATTTTTGCTTCTATAAATTACATATAAAACAAAAATAATATTTTGTATTAATTACATTTATAATTAACATTATATATATTAATGCTATTCCAAAAATATGTAGAAAATACGATTTTATATATAGCATATTTAAAACATTATTATATACTTATTTTTGTACTTTTTAAAAATGTTTACTATTTACTATGGAATTATATTTATAATTAGCATTTCTCTTCAAAAAAGGCCACCCTTCCAAAAGTGTTATGTATAAAAAAAAACATAAAATAATAAGAAAAATAAATAAAAATTGTATTGAATAAATTGCATTATGAATATTTGTTATATATTAATAAGAACGTTCATATATCATATATTAAAAACTTGTTTTTATAAAAGTGTATTACATTTTACACAATACATTTCAATATTGTCACATTTTAGTATTATAACATATTTTTGTGTTATTTCTGTAAATGTTTTTTTTCTTGCTTTGTCCACCATCTTGGATATTTTACCAAGTGATATTTCAGTTCTTTAAGGGAATGTAATGCATACATCTCTGGAGACAGCATAATTGGAAGTGTGCCTACGGTGCCCCAAAATGCTACGTACGGGGGGGCGACTCACTAGATTTTTGAACAAAGCTAGTGTGTGCGTGCTGTGGGAGTGTGGAGCGGTTGGGGGTGGGATAGAGCTCTCTGAAGCCCTCCGGCCCATTAATTCGATTTGTGTCAGAAATCAGGAATGTGCTCAAGTATCACCACAGCTGCTCTCTGAGAGGGAGAGAAAGATGGGACATCCCTCGCTCTTTACCCTGCAGCGTTGGCTTTTCTTTCCCCTCTTCTGTCCAGCCGTTCATTTTTTAATCTCTCCATCTCTCCATGCAGGCCAAGCTGGGAGCACACACTATGCATGTTTTTCCAGAGCTGTATATCAGTGTGTGTATTTCTGTGCGTCTGCTTGTCTGAGAATTCGGGAGGGTTGGTCTAGGGGTGTATGTGCAGCTGTCGCGAGGGGACGCCGTCTAATGGTTTTCGGAGTCTAGTAGATTCCGGCGGGGATATCAGCTGTGGAGGATCCTTAAAAGTGGGATCACTTGATTGCACACCGTGAAGCTGTCTTTTAACATTAAAAGTCACTACAGAAAAATATGTTCCTGTGAAAGATTTTGAAGATGATCCCCCAAAAAAAAAATACAGTATATATATGAAATTGCATTTGAGTTTTTAATTTTATTTATTTTTTATTAAATAATATAAAAAAACTAAATAATATATTAAATACAAGTATAAAATTGTATACATGTATAAAAATATCCTGTGTATAGACAGATTATTTTGTGTGTGTATATATATATATATATATATATATATATATATATATATATATATATATAATGGGTTTTATACAGGTTAGAGCAGTGAGTTTAAGTAGTAAACTTTAAGAAGTGACTCATTAGGGTGGAAAAAGACACTTCTAATTGGGCCATTAAACAGAGACGGGGAGGAAGAACTAGAGCAAACAGCAGACAGTAGAGTTAGGTAAACAGGGTAATTGAACTCTCCCACAGGTCAAAGATGACGCTGTCAGTCAACAGCTGTTGCAAGGAGAGAGAAATCCAGCATTGATTTGGTGTTGCGATGTTTGCAGAGCATTGATTTGAAATTGATGATCTGTTTATCTTCGTTTTAGGCTGGCAGGGTGATGCAGTGCTGGAGCTTCTGGCTGGGCCTGATACTGGTGCCAACAGCATGTTTACTCAAAGATGTGGTGTGGAATGCGTGAGTAATGTACCACACACATACACATATCAGTGTATTTATGGAGAAAATACAGTGTGATTTGGCGATTATGTATTTTACACTCACATAAACAGACTGACAGTTTTTCACTTTGTCTTGCTTGTGTATGTCTGCATGCAGAGGGCGGCGCACAGTGAGGAAGACTCTGCTGGAGGAGGTGCAGGAATTGGAAGCTCGGGCTGTGGACCCTGGGGCAGCCGTCCTCAGAGATGCCAGCGGCCGCAGGTATGTCCCTGAATATGCCTTGATGTAAACCAGCCTATCTATAAACTCCCCAGTAATACCTCAGGTTGATTTACAAGTTGTTTTAATTTATATTACCATTTTATATATATATATATATTTTTATATATTTATTTATTTATTTATTTATTTTTTATTATTAAAAAAAATAATATAATTAAATTATAATATAATAATTTATTTATTTACCATTTCTCTTGCTTTGTCTGCCATCTTTTTTCACTTGAATATTAATAATTGTAATAATTGATTAATAATAATTGTAATAATATATGATTGTTGTTACTATTATTATTATTAATAATGTATTAATATATGTAAAAATATTACAATTACTTGACAGTTAAATTTAAATTACATTTATTGACAGATAGTAACATTTTTACTTATATATTTTTTAATTAGTTTTAATATATGATTTCATATTAATTTAGATACATTTAATAATTATTTAAATATAATGAATTGACAATTAAATTTAAATATATTATTACTTAAATATATGATTTTATATTATTAAGATTAATATACAGTTTGAATTGTTGAAAATAAAATACCCACATTTTGGAATTTTTTTTCTCCCACTTTTTTTTTTTTTCTCCCTTATTCTTTGCTTGTTGCAGAAGGAAGCTCACTAGGTTTTGGAGCTGATTGATTGTGTTTATGATTTGTTTATGTATTTTGTCTATTTGCATATTGTTTGTGAATTAGTTTGTGGATGTGTGTTTGGGAAAGAATCTGTGTTTGTGTTCATTGTGATCCTCTAACCCCTGCCTGAACACCCACAGGCCCAATGCTGAGGATTCATAGACTCGTAGAGTCAAAGGCAAGCATGTGCAGGTAGAACCAGCTGCCTAAGTCTCTCTATAGGATGTGCAGTGACCTGTTTCCTCCTTTCCTTAACCTTCCTTTCATCACCATCATCATCTCACAACTTTTCTTTCACTTTTCTCTTTCACATTCTGCGATGTCAGGCGGCCATGAGCTGGTCAGGTTTGCCTAGCTATAAGCACTAGGTGTGTGTAGCTTCCTTAAGATCGTAGCTCTGTGCATGTGTTTGTTTTCAAACTGTGTGTTTGTGGTTTGAGGCTGACTGCGTGGAGCGATTGCATGGATTTAACAGTTTAGCCCAGAGATATTACTCTACATATTGTGTTTGGTGTACAGCCCTATATGAGACAGGAACTTGGCAGACAGACGTGTAGTCTCATGCAGTTTTTTGTAATACCTTGGAGTGTTTCGTGGTCTTTAGGCCACTAATTTATGGCCAGGGAGTTGACAGAATGGACTTCTAATCAGAGGGATGTTGGCTGTAAGCCCTGTTTGCGTTTACCCCCTCATTCCCCCAGAGCAGAACACTTAACCTCATTTGTTTCAGTAAATATCCAGCTGTAAAAAACATAATGGTTGTAAGTCATCCTGAACGAGTGTAGAAATCCGCTGAATGATTAAACGTCAGCTTGAATTCGACATCACTGGGCGGAGGCTGACACAATTGAAGAGCATATCCTAGGCGTTTACATTTGAAACTATTTACCCAACTAGCCCTGCCGGACAAAAGCAAAGTATTTTCCGAAGTATAAGCCAAGCCTGGACTCGTACGTGAGGGACGGTTGGAGGAAAATAAGTTATTGAAAATTTGATTAATCAAAACAACTGTCTGATATTCCAAGGATTGTCCATGTTCCAGAGAAACGACAGAGGAAGAAAGAGCTCCGGTTACCAGCGAGTCTATGAGTCATTCCATCCTTTTATTTCTTTATTTATCCATTCATCATCTCCGTCTTTCAACCAGTCATCTGTTTTGCAGACATAGTTTTTGTTGGCCGATGTTCTGCCATATCTCATATACTGTTGCATATATTTTTTTTTTCAGCGCAGCCAAATGAATGGCACGTCCTTCCCAACGATAACAGTGAAAACCGTCCCCTTCGTAGCACAATATGAGTTTGAGCTGTAACCTTGAGAAGTTTGGCCTTCCTCCATAACAACTGGTTTTCAGATCACTCTTTCTTTTATGGATGAGGGGAAAGATCGCTTTCATCTGATTTACAGGGAAACATCGTACACTGATTGTTCTATATGGAACGTGTTTATCAAAGACGGGGTCAGGTTCCTTTGATTTCTCATAATTTCAAAACTGGACGCAAAATGGCATCGGATTCAGTTTCCAGAATTGAAATTTTGCCATTTAATTCAGCAACCAGAGACTTCTTTATTGGCTGCATTAATTTAAGAATAAAGAGCTGTTGAATACCTCTCATATTGATCGATTTTGTTTGAAGGATTGAAAAGCTTGAGGATTTAGTGCTGTGGAAATATTCGAGGAGATGTTTTTGGATCACAGGCCTAAGTTTAATGTTGTTTAGGAGTGCTTTGGGAAGCCATTTCTTAGAATTGTGCGAGTATGTGAGTGTAAATGTGTGTTCTGCTCGAGTGAACATCATTAAGAGTATCTGCCGTTCGCCAGGATGGCCATGTGGCAGAGTAGAGGACTGTGTTGTAGAAATGCATGTGATTTGACCTCTAGCTGTCATGTGTGAAGCATATGCTGTGATTGGTGGCTTAACCCGTCTGTCTCTGTCTGTCCAGTCTGAACGAGCGTGCCCACCTGCTGACACGGGTCTTCAGGAAGATGCCTTCCAGCGTGGGACGCTCAAACTCTGTGCAGCAGACTGTGTCACGTAAGTGCATGTTCTGCACCTATTTTTACGCTTCACACCCACTGAGATCTGCAGAACCTGTACAACTGCAACTAATTATTATCATTATTATATTATTATTAATCTGTAAGTTGTCAGAGCTTCATGAGTTTCTTGTCCAAGCTAATGAAAAAAAATCTTAAATTAATCTGTCACTTTGATTAATCGGATAAATAAAGGTTTATATACAGAAACGTTTTATTTGTGTATTTTATTGGGAAAACAAAACAAAAAACCTTTTTCACATAATCCATGTTTGAAGTTTGGGGTTGGTAAAAAAAAAAACAGAAGTCTCACCAAGGTTGCATTTATTTGATACTGTAAAAACAGCAATATTATCAAATATTAGTGCAAATTGAAATAAAAAATTCTTGTAATGTTGTTGAATTTTTTCAAAATTCAAAGTTGAATTTTCAGATTGTATCTATTCACCTCTGCTGCCCTAATATGAAGTATTCAGTGTCACATGATCCTTTAGAAATCATTCTAATATGCTGATTTGCTCAATAAACATTTATTTTTATTATCAGTGTTGAAAACAGTTCTGCTGCTTAATATTTTTGTGGAAACCATGACACATTTTTCCTCTGGATTCTTTATTCAAGTTCAAAGGCATTTATTTGAAATATAAATTTTTGTAACATTATAAATGCCTTTACTATGACCATTGATCAATTTAATGCGTCTTTGCTGAATAAAATTAATTTACTGACCACAAACGTTTGAACGGTATTGTAAATATATGCTAAAAATAAAAATGTAAGAATTTTAACTATGCTATATGTATAAACAAAATGTTTTAAAATATAAATGTTACATTATAAATTGTTAATCCCCAGTTTTAAAGGTGCCATATTGTGCATTTTCTTTCAGCAGCTCTTTAAGGCCTTAAGTCTAAGCCTTTTTAAAATGCATTTTTAAGACCCACTTGAGTATTTAATTTGTTGACTATTTCCATGATCGGTGTTATCTATTCACTGCCGCCCTAATATGAAGAATCCATCAAATATTGTGAGAAAAATAATTGTGGTATATCGACAGCACAGCTGTACAGTTTGTGCTTTGATTGCCATGCACGCAAATATCCCTATAATAAAGGCTAACGATTGTTTTCTCTCTCACCCCAATAGATGGATATGCGTTCTCACAGGAGGAGCATGGGGTGGTGTCGCAGTCCCAGGTTGTTCGCTCCTACGACACCACCCGTCAGCGGCCCAGTCTGTAGCTGTAGCCACAGCGACAGCTGGTAAAGACTTTAACGACACACCTGTGCTGGGTGATCCTGCTGTGGCCTTTAAGCTGAACTAAACTGAACTGGGCACAGCTAGCGCAACACTCGGCCGAGCTACATAACACACTGCCTCCCGACGAGGGAGTGGATTTACAGGAAACTGAGGGTTGGGGTGGGTGGGCATATTCTCACATCGAAACGGCCAGTTGAAATGCACTACACACGAACGGACAGGCGAAAGGAGCCAAGTAGCATCCAGAAGCGGAAGCCAGAGACAATGGTGTCTTGTGTCACTGTCACGAGTCACAAGACTGCTTCATTTGGTTCTACATTGTGCGGGTGCGTGTTTGCATCTGCACTTTTGTGTATGTGAGCGTATATATCAATAAGGATGTGCATATGTGCTCTTATCCGTCGTGTGTGTGTGTCGGTTGTGGGGCGGCTGTTGCGCTTCTCGGTGTGTCTGCATGTGTGTGTTTTTGTTAAATCCTAGCATCTGCGTCTCCAGAGATCGGAGTTTGGCATATCCGTCATCACCATGGCGAAGCAGGAGGGGAGGCCACTCTAAACAAACACAAAACAGCCACCCACATGCATACACTCTTTTTGGAGGAATGCCCATTGCAGACCTGAGATGGGGGAGGTGTGGCTTACAGATGCTGCAGACACACGCATGCACCGTTCCCATCCAGTGAGTCTGCCAAAACACACAGCGATTCCTCTGAGGCGGAACCCCCACCCTGCAGCATGGAGCTTCCTAGCTTACCACACACACACAAATACACCTTCTCTCACTCTCGGTCTCACCTAATCTTCTACTTAATGGTGGCCTCTGTATCTTAGAGCTCATGTTCTCTCCGTCTGCCCCCGTCTTTGATTCTCTCTCTTTTTCCAGATTGGCAATCTCCATGTCTCCTTGTTCTCTTGGTCTAGTTATCCTTTCATTCCCTCTCTGTTCCAGTCAGTGGCTGCTGTGGATCACAGATGTAGCTTATGCTTTTGTCCGCTTTCACTCGACCTGTCGGGTTTCTGGACTGTTTTGTCGAATAAACTGGACTTGTGACTCTGTGTCATTCTTTTTTAAAGCCTTGCTTTTGTCCTGTTATTGTTACGTGAGTAATTTCAGGCAAATTCTTATTATTATTCAGTTTAAATTTGTGGATTCACACTCATGTCGTTCCAAACCGGTGTGACTTACTTTCTTCGGTGGAACAAAAAGAAGAGACATTAAGAATGTTCCTGCCACTCTTTTTTTTGCGGAGCGGAACTGTCATATATATATAGTCAGGCTGTCTGCAGGATTTTTAAAATCAAATGCAAGACTTTTTTTAAAGACATTTTTAAAACCTGCACAAATAACATTAATACCACATGAGCAGGGTAGGGCAATGGTAACATTAAACCTTTAAATGACTGTAAAAAAACATGATTTACATGTTCAGATACAGGTTTTCACAAAGTTTTATAAAATTTAACATTTCAGCCATTTTTAAGAAAAGGGGTGAGTCAAAAATATCATATTTGAACAATTATCAAACAATTACATTAATTTAGTAACATAAATATATGTCTTCATTTACAACTGCATGTTTTCTGCAAACAAACGTAGCAGAAGGACTTTTTTTTCCCACACTGTGTCCGATATTACCAAGTAGGTATAACTGCAGACCGGAGATCTCCAAAATGGGGCGTGAACTCCAAAAGTAGGCAGAACCTCCAAAATGGGGCGGGGTCTCCTCGCGCAAAGACTTTCACCATTGGCTCTGGCTCCAGCCAATTGTTATTGACATTTCAAAATAAAACTTTATAAATTAAACATTGTTTCTAGTTCATCTAAAATAAAATATGATATATAAGTAAATATTCTCAGTGAGAGCAGAGCCCAAAGCTCGTGGCCAGTGGTGTTCGGACTGGAGTTTAATGATATAAACGGGGATCTCCCGCGAGCCGTCCCAGCGCAGCGCAGGGGAAAGATTTCACTCTATCGCTTTGTTCCAAGCAGCGGGGGCGTCCCGGGGCTCGAAATTCGCTGGGTAGGAGTGGGTAGTGACGCTGGGTGTAACTAAAAAGGTGCCATTGTCCGGTGAGGTCAGGTTGGGGAGTTACGGAACGATCTCATATCGCATAATCTTATTAACTCTTTATCTCCTGAACTGCAACTTTCTTTACCACGCTATTCAGTGCCAGTCCCGCCGTGCAGTCAATTTCACTGGTTAAGGTTAGGGTCAGGTGTGGGGTAGGTTTAAGGGTTAGCATTGTTTGTAGGAAATCAACACTTTAATTGACACAACCAATACAATCTTTAGAATCAGCTGTGGGGCGGAGTTTGCACTGAAGTGGATTGGAGGAAAATGCGCATGCGTGTCATGTGCCTGTCTGCCAATCGGAGGAAGCCACGCCCTGTTTTGGAGCTCCCGCCCCCATGTGGAGATCTCCAGGCTGTAGTTATACCCCTCTCGATATTAAAGTCAGTGCGGCTTCCGAGATATGAAATGAAATTCTTCCTCCAGAGTCTCCTCCTCCCATTTCTACCACTGATGATTCAACTTCCCGCGTCTAAGCGCAACTGTTGATAGCGGTCGAGGTCACACATGGGTTGAAATTTGTATGATGTGTCGATTGTGTGAGTAGGATGCGTTTCATACAAGATTTTGTTACTGGACAACCTTGGAATAAAATATTGATGTGATTATTCATATAGGCCTAAGGAGGTTTGGGCCATACAAATTACGAGAGTTTACTGGGAGAAATAACAATGTGGGAGATGGGTGTGAAATACGGGAGACTCCCAGGAAAAACGGGAGTGTTAACAGGTATGCTGTTAACTCACTGCTAACTCACGGGGGAGTTTGAAACTGGTTTGTGAATCATTGGAAGATTTTGACCTATTTAAAAGAACCATTTCATGAGTCAATTGTTTGCGGTTCCACAACCTCACTTTTAGCTGACAAAAAGAAGAGAGTAGATGAACTCATATGCAGTAGGTACTCAACCAAAATGCCAATTCATTTTTATTCATATTTTAAGTTAGCTTTTAATTTTAGTAATTTTGTTTTGTGCTTTTGACATTTTATATATATATCTTTTTTTTTATTCCAGTTTTAGTTGTTTTAGTAGTTAAACTTACTTCAGTTATTTGCCAAAATTTCTAATTTTCATTTAACATTTAATTGTAAAGTTTTATCATGTAATATTTATATTTCGTTTCAGCTTTAGTTATTTCAATTAACAAAACTATATAGTTCAATACCAAAACTATATCTAACTATATGTGCCTATTCAAATAGATAAAACGACTCACGGTTCAGAGAGGAGTCATTTGTAACGGCACGATTCACTGACCGTTGACCGAGCGAGTCTTGTTAACTCGCCGCTAACTCACTAGGGAATTCGAAGATTCGAAACTGGTTTGTGAATCTTTTGATTTTGACCTATTGAAAAGAACCGATTCGTATGAGTCCATTGTTCGTGATTCGACTCACGCTACCACAGAAAGTTCTTCTGACTAAAGTTGAACGCATTGCTTCAGATTCGGTGGTGAGTAAATGATATAAGAATTTAATTCATTCTATTCGAATTTACATCGTACATTCATCAAGTTTTTAAGGGATTACCCAACTTTGAATAGCAGCCTATGTGAAAAGGAGATCGTTGTAGAATTGCTGAGCTAAAAAAAATTAGCTTAGCGTGATTTGGTTCACTTATGCTGTCTTAAAAAAGTGAAAGCCAACATTCAACATTCAACACTAGCGGACTTATAAGTGGAGTTTGATTTGTGCTTTCTCCGGCCGGGTTTGTTTGAAGTGCACTTCAGAGCTGAGTCAGAGTTACAGGTTAGGAAATGAGCTGAGGTGGAGTGTTATTTTAAGATTAAAAACAGGAAAGACAGAAGAGTACGAACACATTTACAGCATATGTAGATCTTACCTTATTTAAACCCCGAATCATTCAATTTGCCAAAGAACACGTTGTACATCAGTGCACTTCGTGTGTATGTGAAGGATTAACTACACAGATGTACTCAACTATATATGTTCTGAATTAACGATAGGTGCGTTGCATGGATATATAGAATAATCCCATACGAGTTCATTTAAGTCTTAATGTAACTGTAAGGGTGTGTGTGACCCTGTAAACCCCATCAGTCCCATGATCCCCTATTGCTAAAAAGTCCACACCCACGTCTCTGAATATGAGCCAGCTCTGTCCAGCTCCACTGCCTTCAATATGGGGAATCCATTCCTGTTCCACCTCAGCAGGAACCACATGGATCCATTTCAACTCTGTCCAATGACTCCCCAAACGTTAGTCTGACCCTAAAGTTTCCATATATACATGCCAAGAAAACTGCAATTATTGTGGGTTTTGTTTGTATATGCAGCCATTGTCTGGGTGGAAAGTGTGACTAGTGACGTGTGCTGTTAAGTGTGTTTAAAGACTTGTTTAAAGAGTTTTTATTCTAGCTAGTTAAAGTATGAAACGCGATTTGTGTTTTAGCACTTTCGAGTAATATTTATATAGATTTAGCTTCACATTTTCACCCTGTCTCATATGTGCATGTGCAAAACAGATATTACTAACTAAACACAACTGTCAGTTCTGAGGTCATTTGGTTCAATATTATTTTTAAATGTTGCAGATTATTGTAGCTAATGTGTAGGCTATATCACATATTGTGGGGGGACATTTTTTATTAGTTTTGTTCTAGGTGATTAAATCAAGTGTTTTAATAATCGTAAATAAGTGGACGTATGTTTATAAAATGTCACATCATACTTGGTGCAGTATGTGTAATTTTAAAAATAACAATTTCCACTAAATTCACAATTTCCTTAATTATAGAACAGCCTGTTAACATTTCTCTATTACACATGTTAACAGCTTGTAAATGTCTTTTGAACTGGCAGCACTTCATCTTTCAACAACATGAAGAATATGACCATTTGTCGTTCATCATTTACTAGTTTATCAGAATTTCCCTAAGAGACCAGAAAGATGTTACAAAAGACTTATTTTGATCTTTCTATCATTTAAAAATCCTTTTAAAATGTATCAGTTAACAACAATAATAATAATAATTAAGCAGCACAACTGTTTTGATATTGATAAATATGCTTCTTGATCAGCAAATCATCATATTAGAAAGATTCCTGAAGGATCATGTGACACTGAAGACTGGAGTAATGATGCTGAAAATTCAGATTTGCCATCACAGGAATAAATTACATTATAAATTATACAAAAAAAAAAGTGATTATACTTCACAATACGGTTTTTATTGTATTTTTGATCACATAAATGCAGTCTCTGCATGACTTTCAAAATCTTACCAACCCCAAACGTTTGAACAGTAGTGTATATAAATATAATTTATAGCTGTTCAATCATGACGTCAACTCAGGCTAATTCAGCTTGGTTTCCAGTATCTAGTACATATATTTAAAAGTAATATGAACATGTGCATAGAGTTTTATGACTAAATGTCTGTCTGTATATGCAAACACTTAGCAGGGAAACTATGCAAAGATTTATGCACGCAGCCCTTGGTCTCAGTTTCGTCATAAGTGTTGAGAGTGATGAAAGTCTGAGCACTTAAAGTCCATGTGTAACAGGAGCACTCGGGTTTAATTTAGCCAAGGCAGTGGTGCAAACGGGCCCTGCATGTCTTCATTTGAGAGCGCCACACATACCGCTGACAGCAGCACTCAGCATCTCTTACAAACAACCCAGTGACACTTCACAGTCTCTAAAAATATTTATTATAATTATTATATTTCATATGTAAAAGACACGTAGCACCCTGCTCTCAAAGAGAGAGAGGCACATTCAAGCTCAAATACTCATTCAGTTTTACAAACACACACGTATCGTACACAAAAATAGATCTGATGTGCATGTAAAGTTGCCCACAGATTCAGTCGAAACAGGCATTCTCCCTGTCAGGACAGACTTTGCTACTTTTCCTGTAGGGGTAGAAACCATCCTATCTCAAACTTTAGTGAAAGTTCACCAAAAAAGGAAAATTCTGTCATCATTTACTCTGTCATTCCAAGCAGTGGAACACAAAAGATGATATTCTAAAACA